TTCTATTCTATTCTATTCTATTCTATTCTATTCTATTCTATTCTATTCTATTCTGTTCCTATTATTTCTATGTCTATTCTACCACAGGCCTCCCTTCCACCAGAGGGGGTCAATGAGGACCTTCCAAGTTGCAACATAAAATCCTGGATTTTTGTTTCAGGATCCAGCAAAACTCCAGTCTTGGGAGCATTGATAGACCCTCCTTGCAGGTCGCAGGTGGCCTTCTTGGGGTGCCCGGTTCCTAAAAGAGACCCCCTGCCTAACAGATCAGTAGCTCTAGGCCTTCAGGGAGGTCCCACAAATTGAGGGGGGGGGGGGAAACACCTTTATTTATTTATTTTTTGCTCCCTCTGCTCTCTTTCATCTCATGCCAATCATGTCGGACAGACCCCTCAAACACAGGCAGAAATCCAAGCGGTGTGCTCTCTGCGAGGCGGCCTTTCCTGGGGCCGCAGAGGGGGACCTCTGTCCTCGCTGCTCCCTGCAGGCTCTCAGCCCCGCCAGCTCGGCATCAGGGGGCTTAGAGTCCCAATGGCGGGACCCCAGGGCCCCTTCCCCCTCTGCTAGCTCAGGGGAAGACCCCAAAGATCCAGATGTGGAAGAAGAGAAGGAGGACTGGGAGAGCCGAAAAGTGGACTGGGTGAGTTTTGAGCTGTCGCTCCTTTATTTTATTTTATTTTATTTTATTTTTAGTTTACGGCCTTGGCTCAAATCTCGTCTGCAGGGTGTCATGTATTTCTTGTTTGTTTGTTTTTCATTTTGAGCCCCCAAACAGGCTTTGAATTCCGGCTCAAAAGCTGAGCTCGGAGACACTATGGAGATTCTCCATCCTCCAAGTCATAGTTGTCCCAAAAGTGCTTTTATTTTTTATGCCCAAGAGGCAACTGAACCTTCTAGTTTTCCTTTTGAAGACGTTTCGCTTCCCATCCGAGAAGCTTCTTCAGTTCTGACTGGATGGATGGTGGGGAATGGAAGGATTTATCTTCCTTGCGGACAGCTGGTCATTTACATTCTTTTAGAGGGTCGTTGAGGCCACTTGGAGGTTTGTCTGTGTCCTCAGGGTCACCTGAGTGGTGCAAATGGGTGTAGAGCCTTCTTGGAACTGCTGAAAGGACCGTGTTGTGGACAGGAGACGGGTGATGTCGTATCCCTTTCCCGTCTGTTGAGAAAAGACTATTCAATTTGGAGATAGATGGCCTCTTGGACCCCTTCTTTCAAACCAGCGGTCCTCTCTGTCCAAAATGTGGGACTTTGCTGCCCTCAAAAGAACGGCCTTTTTTCTTTTAAATGCAGATGGACTGCTGAATCTTGTCTGCAAGGA